GAAATACACAATTTAACGTTAGATTTATACTGTGAATATGCACTTCAAGGAAATGAACGTGGCAATTTGATCTTGATATAAATCTCATCTACATAACTTAATTGTACAATTAAGAACCTAAAATTAAAAAGCTTAAAAAATATAATGTAATAAATAAAATATATTATTAAAAGGCGTTCTGAAGATACTGGCAGCGTTCCCTCTTTGAATAGCTAGACTAATTCTTTGTCCGAGGTAGCTGCCAGCTCTTCGGTCTTCTGTGATGTCGACTAACCTTATCGTTATTTCTTTGAAAAGTCTTATAGCGCTAGGACCCCACGGACCAAGGGTCTGGACATCGAATGGGACAAAATCATATTCAGAGCCTAGACTCCTATATTTACATGTTTTGGCTTTTTCAGCCGCTTCACATGCCGCACCAGTTCACTTCGTCCGCGTAGAATTTAACTTTATTTTTCTAAAATAAAAGTAGCCTAAGTTACTCCTTATTACATCAGCTACCTGCCAAAAAAAGTCCCGTCAAAATCGGTCCAACCATTTCAGATATTAGCCAGAACAAACAGAACGACAGACAGACAGACAAAAATTGTAAAAAAATATATTTTGGTGTAAGTAGCGTATTTATATTCATATGCATATAGTAAAAAACGGTTATTTTAATATTACATACAGACACTCCAATTTTATTCATATGTATAGATTTTGCTTTATTACCAACGGTTTATATTTTCCATATAAAAGAAGCGTCGACCACGATTGAAATTGATGGCAACATTTTATTTAAATCAGGGTAAGTCTTTCTCTATGGGCCGACCAACCATACATACTAAGAGATTTACATTTTTATATCCTCACTATATTTTGTCTGTGGTTTTATATTGCAATAAAAAGTCAAATGAATTTGAACTGAATGAAGGAAAACTATACGTTTGTAGCACGTATAAAATAATCACTGGATGGGAGGAAATGGGTTTTAGTATATATACTTATTGTATTCATAATAATAATAATAATAATCTCAGGACAATTCACACAGCGCCATCTAGACCCAAGTTAAGCTAGCTAAAGCTTGTGTTATGGGTACTAGATAACTGATACAAGTACATAGATATTTTTTTTCGTAAATACATACTTATTATACATAGAAAACACCCAGACCGATACAAACAATCATACTCATGAATACAAATGTTTGTGCCGTGCGAGGAATCGAACCCGCGACCATCGGACGTAAAGCGGTGTGCTAGTCCGCTAGACCACCGAGGTCGTCAAACGTCAAATCGTCAAATTCATATTATAAGTATTTAGTTATTTATACCCAAATTCAAAGTTACACATAGTGTTGGCGACAGACCTTTTTTATAGATATTTCTATTTTTAAACCATATATTTTTTATTTACAATTATTGATATATATTTTTATTATATTGTTTTGCTACATTGTATCTATAATTTTACCCTACTTCACTGCCGTTGCCAGCCGTAATACATAGTATGAGATATCAAATAGTAAGATTATTTGTTAACACCTGGACGACGATTTGAGGAATGGTTGATACATCTAAAAATGATTTTTAATCAATAAAAGGCAGTATCTCGATAATCTGTGTTAATTTTAAATTGCGCAATGATAATCTGTGTCAATTTTAATATTTGTTTCTTATAACTTTTTTTTAATTCTGTTTTACATACTGACGTGGCAACACCAGTAACAATTTTAGTTAACAAAATTACTGTTTAAGTCACTACTAAGTCTTACATTTTGTATCTTATCCTACACAATTTATATTATTTCGGGTAAATAAATAAATAAATATACAAATAAACGTTTATTTCTTATTAGTTGCGCTTACAGTTTCATCTACGTAAAATTTATAGCCTATGTGTTATTCTGATATATAAACTATACTACTGTAAAGTTTCATCAAAATTCGTTTAGTAGATTTTGCGTGAGAGAATAACAAACATTCATCTATCTATCTATGGTCACAAATTTTTGCGTTTTTTAATATATGATTTCATATTTTTAAAGTAAACCACAATAGTCTGTGAAAGTACTGGTTACAAATGATTTTGTTTTCTGTTACATAGTCTAAGAATGGCTATACAACATCATGCTACGACCATTAGGAGCTGAGCAATGTTAGGCTTATAAAGTAGTCAGGTAGTGAGTTATAAATCAAGTTCAGATCTGAACAAGAAAATAGGCAAGCATCCTTTGTTATGACATACTCGTATGTAACTCAATTCTAGATGGCAACGATCACACAATAAAAATGACTCATTCTATTGGGACACGGTCAAATGATTTGATGAATTACTCTACACTACTACATCATACGAGTATAGGTCGGTTAGTGGGTTCGAAATTACGGCCTGTGCCGAGGTTCGAACCCCTAGTCAGCCGGGAGTTGGCCTTGAGCCGCTCCATAAGTCCTTCAGTGGGCTTGGAATGCTATCTTCACTCGCTCTCTATCGTCCGGTGAAGCTGTAAAGGCCAGCTGCGGCCAACAGCATTAGAATAGTCCGAAAAAAAGGTCAGTCGGTTTCTTAAGGATCGGCAACGTGCACGTGACACATCAGGTGTTAGGCATGGTCTACGGTAATGTTTGCCATCAGACTAGCCGTATACTTGATTGCTATAATAGTTGTTATTATTTACCCTCGAGGACATAGCTGAAAATCAGTGTTCTGCTCCTTGAGTGATTCTCCACACTGAGCTATGTACCAGTTTTGTATCTCTGTAGCACATACATGCAGGTTTACTCTTTTTGAATTGTTATATTATAGGTACTCGTCATGTGATGTTATAATTAAGCCTATATGTGTGTACTTAGATACAAATAAAAACTATTATCTGTCTATAAAAAAAAGTAGCTTGTTTTTACATGTGACAGAAATGGTATTGACGATAAACTAACGGTTAGACCCGGTATCATTCATTTTTTTTGACAGCATCAGCTCCACTGACATATTTGCTTCATTTTTACACTGATTCCTGTTTTATTTTCTGTTGATGTTTTATGTTTGTCTCTAAATCTTAAATATATATAACTCAAAGGTGACTGACGTAGTGATCCATCAACGCACAGCCCAAACCACTGGACGGATCGGACTGAAATTTTGCATGCAGGTAGATGTTATGATGTAGGCAATCACTAAGAAAGAATTTTGATTAATTCTACCCCCAAAGGAATAAAATAGGGGATGAAAGTTTGTATGAAACTTTGTCAATTTTAAACCGATCGGGCTGAGACTTTGCATGCATAAAGCTACTATGACGTAGGCATCCCCTAAGAAAGGATTTTGATAAATTCCATCCCTAAGCGGATAAATTAAAGCGAGCGAAGCCGCGGGCAAAAGCTAGTGAGCCTATAAAGGCTGAAGATTTACATTGAACTTGTGTGCATATATAATTTATTACTTAGAAATCATATCTATTTGAAGATTTCTATTATTATTCCTATTCCTATAGGATTTATTTCTAGTGGAATTATAGAATAAAACTAAGTACACAAAATGTCTACTCAAAATCTGACGTAGAATAATATTCTAAGATAAAAAGAATACCTTTTTATTTTAGAATAATATTCTACGTCAGATTTTAAGTAAATGTTTTCATTTCAATAGATGACATTCGCATAACGATCGCTCGTTCAAAGTCACGTATAAACACTAGTGTTTTCATAATATAAAGAGACACCAATTAAAAGTATCCGGACAAAATTTAATTAACGTCAGCTTCCGTCCACTAAAAGCCCATCACGTTGTAGTGTTTTACGCAACCTGTACCGTAGATATAAATACCAAGTATATGAGTAGAGTCAGAAGGACCTATTAAAATATACCCATGACCCGCAAACTTATATGTATAGATTATTAAATTTAAATAAATAAAATCGTAGTGTTTGTTTGTAATATTGAAATAACTGTTTTTTACTACATGCATATGAATATAAATACGGTGCATACACCAAAATAACATTTTTTACAATTTTTGTCTGTATGACTGTCGGTCTGTTTGTTCCGGCTCATCTCTAAAATGGCTGTACCAATTTTGACGGGACTTTTATTGGCAGATAGCTAATGTAATAATGAGTAACTAAGGCTACTTTTATTTTATAAAACTAAAGTTAAATTCTACGCGGACGATGTCGCGGGAACAGCTAGTATTAGTAATAATTTTGGATAATATACACAGTGCCATCTAGACACAAGCTAATCAGAGCTTGCGATGTAATGAAATACTCCAATGTAGTATGTAGTAGAGTATGAGGTCAGGTAGGTTAGCCCATAGCGAGTGCAGCTTGTAGGGACTGGTCTGCTCTAATCACTACGACTGATTTACTCTTATTTAGTTACTCAACCAGTTGGTTGTGTATTTAGTATTTTCTCTATTTGAGTATTTAATTTAATTAGTGCTAGTTGGTAGTTTGTATTCACACATTTCAGCCTAATGTAAAGTAACAACTACATTATTTAAAAGAGCAACACGCAGATTGCCTTGCACGTTCTTCTTGAGTTGCGACAGATTTCCGAATGTGCGGTAGATTAAAAAAAAATGATAACTATTCAAAAGTGCTTCAATGTAAGTTTATTTGAATAAATGACTTTCTATTCTATTCATATTAGCATATTTTTACAGGAATTTAACATGATGGTTACCAGAGGGAACCGCGTGGAGGTTAACCTGACATGGTACATTGCTAGCAATGTCCTTATTAATCAATATTACTGACTACGTCCTTCTCCCCAATTTCAACAATATTAGCTGTGCTTAGTTTGGGACTAGAGCGCTTTATTGATCATCTTGGTTAAAAAAATATTTCTTAAAATGCAATAATGAAATGTTTATTAATTAATTCGCACTGAAACGATTTTAATGGAACTTGGTACATAGATAGACCCTTTATATTAAATAATACACAACAATATATCTTCTCTTAATTCACAATAATATCAAATAGTATCCAATAAATATAACGATACAAATTCCTCACCTTTAAAACAAAACACAATACGTAACAACAAATCACACAAATCACAATACCATTCCGAATAATCGATCTATACCGATTTATCGATTATAATCGAAACGAAAATCGAATAAAACAAACACGATCCCGAATTGTGTAGGTTCCGAGTCTACTGTTTACGGTCACAGACGGGCGCGCGCGCCGCAGCGCACATTTCAACTACAGATTCTTCTAATTTACGATTTTACGCGCCTGCGACACGCGTTTACTATAAATAAATTGCATAGCCGTGTAAAGTGATGCCATGTTAGGGGTTTTACCACCGAATTAGGAGGGATTTTTGGCTATGGAAGAAATTTGGAGGGAACAAATGGGTGGTGGGATTTGCGGGGGAACAAATTGAAGTTGGGGCATTCGCCACAAATTTTTTACATTTTTGATAATGGACCTACAACCTCTCGGTTATGGCGACCAGTTGGAGGATGATAAGATGAAATCAGCGTGTATCATAAGCCGTTTAAAAATATAAACAATCTAAAAATAAAATGTTGTTCTCTTTTTAGAACAACAAGTTTTTTTTTATACTACTATGGTGGCAATCAAGCATACGGCCCATCTGATGGTAAATAGTTACCGTAGCCTATGAATCATCAGGGGTATCAACAATGCGCGTTGCCGACTCTAAGAATTGATGTTGGGGAAATCCAATTTGTAGTCTCGTGGGAAAACCTCAGCACGAAGTTCATTTTTTAATCTAAGTGTTATGGGGGTTGTAAAAACAAACCGCATGTTCGGGACCACTTAGGTTCCAAAAAAGGTGTTCTCTTTTTGTCGATGGCTAGTCTGGTAAAAGTATCAAAATTAGTAAAAAAAAACAAAGTATTTAATTTATGAAAAAAATGTCAAAAAAGAATAAAAAAAAACTACAAAATGTTGTCATTACTGACTTCTTTGTTGGAAGGTCGTTATTATCTACATTTTGGGCAAAATATCAAGTAGTCATCTGGCAACACTGACCATGTATTTTCAGTCGCAATGTCATAGTAGCCCCAACCCGAGTCGTGTCTTTGTATGTTTATTCATCCAAAACATTAAATAAATATACTCAAATCCCAGATGCACTAGTTAGAGGTATAGTTAACTGTCGACATCGTGGATTAAGGTTTGACATACCCATATTATCTTTCTTGAGATAATATGGGTATGTACGAGGTAATATGGGTATGTATGAGAATGGTTATTTGTTTTTTATGTAATTGGAATGGTAATCAATAATTTTTTAGTCATTTTAATAAGTTACACAATGGCGGACTTGTCCCCAATGAGGAATTTCTTACAGTCAACCTTTGATTGACTGAAAGGAATTGTGGAATAGTGGAAAATATACATACATAATAGTACCAACACAGATGGACAGGACAGATGGCCGTTGGGGCAGGAAAGTCCTCGAATGGCGATCACGGACCGGAAGACGCAGCGTGGGAAGGCCTCCAGCAAGGTGGACCTACGATCTGGTCAAGATCACTGGAAGGCATTGGATGCGAGCAGCGCAGGACCGATCGTCGTGGAGATCTTTGGGGGAGGCCTATGTCCAGCAGTGGACGTCTTCCGGGCAGAGATGATAATGATGATAGTACCAACAATAAAAAGCAAACGCGTATATATAACTATTATATATAATAACTAGAATATTAAAGAAATACTTAAGTATAATATATAAATACTAGCTACTCGCCCCGGCTTCGCACAGGTGTACATGTATTATATATATAAACCTTCCTCTTGAACCACTCTATCTATTAAAAAATACGGCTTCAAAATCCGTTTTGTTGTTTTAAAGATTTAAGCATAGGGACGGACAGACACCGACAGCGACTTTGTTTTATACTATGTAATGATATCTACATATATATAAAATAATCATAATGACCTCTGAGTTTGTTGAGGCGTGCATTAAAGGATCTGATATAAAAGGGTAAGCATATGGATGTTACGACCGTCAGGAATAGAAGTCATTTTCTTTCTTTTCTTTCAATCAAATGTGTTCCAGGGCTTCTAGAGACATAATATTAAAAAATACACTATTAAGAAATACTCAAGTATATAAATACTAGCTACTCGCCTCGGCTTCGCCGGGATGTACAAGTATTATATATATAAACCTTCCTCTTGAATCACTCTATCTATTAAAAAAAACAGCATCAAAATCTGTTGCGAAGTTTTATAGATTTAAACATAAATACTATGTAATGAAAAGGCAAAGAAATTCGCAGGTAACGTAATGTGCAAGTTTTTTTATAGCTGCGGCGGCATAATTACATGTAGGTAACTACAGATTATAAATTTACTCTTAGACCTTCCAGACTTCAATTAGTGCTAATAATATGATAATTTTACTTCGCTACTAGCTAGTTTCCGTTAGTTAATAACTTAAGTGAATTGGAATATCTTATCTATTTTATATTGGAGATATAAAGGTATATTTATATCAAATATATATATAAATATATACAGTGGCGAGAGTAAACATATACAGTGGGGTAGAACTTGTATACTAACTGTTCACATCTACATCTTGATTTACTCTAGCTTAGACTAATTACTAAGATTATATATATATATATATATATATATATATATATATATCAACAACTGCGTGACCTACGTGTCGTTAGATATAACGTAATCTGGCACAATCTACTATTGAACGTGCTGATTGGTATCACTATATCACAACTATGCACAATATTTTGTACTTAGATATAGTTGTTAGGAAAAATGTGTATGATATTATACGTTGTACCGGAACCGAACCAAGACGCAGCGTGGGAAGACCTCCAGCAAAGCAGACCGACGATCTGGTCAAGATCGCTGGAAGGCGATGGATGCGAGAAGCACAGGACTGATCGTCGTGGAGATCTTTGGGGGAGGCCTTTGTCCAGCAGTATACGTCTTCCAGCCTGAGATGATGATGAGGAATCGAACCTACTTCCATTCTAACCGAGGCTGTAGCTAATCTCTTTTATGATCATATCTAAAATTACAAATTGCGAGTACATTTATAAAAGTACATTCCGAATTAACAGTAAATTTGACTTATTGTGAGCGGTATCAATACGTACATGAATAAAGCTATTTTGTGTTTCGGTGTAATAAATAATCATCAAAGTTGATCTGTACAAAAAAACTCCAACCCGAAATAGCATCAAGATAAACATACATTATCGTCTAATACGTAGTTTGCTGAAATCACAAACGAAAATACAATTTCAAGATCTATTTACTGCGTCGTAAATCCTAATTTGTCCATTATCTTAAAAGAAACAAATTAACAACACAATATTAGCACGATAAACAGCAACCCATTGTGGATTCTATTACGAATGCGGTAAGGTAAAAAATTCTACTAGCATTTATTTCAAGAATCGATTTGCTTGCACGTTCGTCACCATACACCAAAAAGCATTCAAATGCAAATTGTATTTAAAAAAAATAACTGTTTATGGTTTAGTCAAGCTAAACTAATTGTTAACACTTGTACTGGAAAGATGATTACTGTGTTACACATTCACATGTGAAAAATAGGCTCAAGTCTTTTTAAAATTTATATATTTTATAAAATAATAATAATAACCCTGAACAATTAACATAGCGCCATCTAATCTCGAGCTAAGCAGAGCTTTACTACACCACTGACATAATTACTTTTTTTTTTAAATACATACATAATATGTTTAGTAAACACCCAGACTGACACAAACATCATCATACTCATGAATATAATTAAAAAAAACGAATTCAATATTTGTAAAGTTTACTTAATAAAATGAATTTCATTTCTTTCGATTGTTACGAAAAAAAATTGATCTAACCGAAATACTTAATACATTTCTAAACGTGACATGTCTAGCTGTTACCCGCAACTTCTCTTTACATTTTTGCGTGTGAATGGTCAATTAAAATAGGTCCAATTGTTTCAGAGATTAGCAAGAACAACAAAACAGACAGACAGAAATGTTTTTTATAATACCGTATACATATATTTCATATACATTTAGTAAAAAGCTTTTAATTTGAAATTGGAAACAGCCATTTTAATTTTATTTATATGTATTAGTAAAATTTAAAGACTTGGCTCATGCACTTCACGGTTACTTCAAGATAGAGAACAGTAGCGTTCATGTGGTCCATATTAGTATTAGTAGGTTAAATTTTAACCTCTCAAAAATATAAGTGTAACAAAAAGATTACAATTCTAACGGCACACCTTTGTTATGCTAAGATAAAAATCTCGAGTTGTGGGACAAATATTCAAAATCCATACCTAATACTATGAATACGAAAGAGTCTATGACATTTGTTTGTTTGTTTATTGACTTTTCACTACTAAACGGTTTAACTAATTTTAATGTTTCTAATATTACAAAAATTCTTTAAAAAATTATTATATTTAGTTTATCGATAATAATATATGGTTTCAATTTCATGACGATATCTTGATTAGATACTGACAAAAAAAATTTTTTACTCAAGGGTTGTCACCCCAATTATTCACTTACTATAGGGGTTTGGAGTATGAGATTGAGTGTATGGCAAAAATATTGAAAACTTAAAAGCTAATATCGCGCTATGAGCTGAAAGAGCCTCCACTCAGCTGGTACCGCAGAGTGTCACTACCACGCTGTGTGAAATTTTCAGTGAAACAGCCAGGAAAGTGATGATCATAAGTCGTATTGTTGTCACTTTTCATTAGTTGAATCATAAACACGTCAACAAGTATTACCATTCCAATTTCATGAACAAAATCATCATCAGTATAAAAAGTGATTTCTAACTCCCTCGATCTTCCATTTCATGGGGTTTTATTGTGTTGTAACCTATCTATGGGTAACAATAAAATAATTCCTTAACAGCATTCACAACATTGTAAGCGTGTATATACATGGAGTGTAAAATAGAATAGAATAGAAAATTATTTTCAAAATATTTTCACATTATATTTATATATAAACTTAACCACTTTTCATACTTTTTTTCTAAATATACAACTAAGTGCTTATATAAGTTGTCTAGTACCCAATAAACGAGCTTTACTTACCGGGACTAGATGGCGCTGTGTTAATTGTCTAGGGTTACTTATTTATATTCTATATTCCATGTGATGTAACGAAAATCATTGTGTCATATGTAGAAG